TTGCCAGCCGTACATGATGCAGTCCAGCTAAACAGAAGCCGGACACCAGACAGTCAAACTCCTGATCCCCACATGAAAATCTATGAATGCCTGGAGAGTGTGAATTCAGTAGACTGCTTTTTTGGCGCCGTCAAGATTCAAGGAAGATAGTCTAAGGCTTTTGTAGCCATTTGGATAGCTAATTATAAGAAATTATCGCAAATGTTCTGCTGACACATATTAAATAGACTATGAGTTCTGGTTCGCAGCCATCAAAATAATCTTCCACGCCGGAAACAAGCCTGATCCACGGAGAGGAACTCAATTAATCGGTGTATAGATTTCGCGCCGGCGTACAGAGCCCTGCGCAGTCACGTACAGACGTCCGTGACCGAGAGTTGATTGGTGCATATATCCCAAAAAGTACCCCTTTTCGCTGCCGTTTTTTTCTCTGACGATACACTCCTGTAAGAAGTTAAACGCCCAGGTCAATAAAACAATTGTTCCGGTGCCAGAAAAGTCTTCTGTTTTGCCAATTTTGATATTTTTAAGGCATTACGATGAAGATTGCATTCCATCATACAATTAAAATAGGTTAGGATCAGGACAAAGGTTTTCGAACACCACCCCCAAAAACAAGCCGACAAAGCGATAAAAGTGCTCACTAATAATCTCCTGAATTTTCCAGTGAGTACTCTAGTTGAAACAATGACGATGGCAGACGATCGTCCTGCTGCGTTCTGCAGTAAGTCGAAACAAACAACCCCGGTGTGTTGTTTACGGTGTGCGATAACAACATCCAACCAAAAAAAATGTAGGAATAATGCTGATGCATAAAGCTCCCAAAAGCCCGACTGCTCACAACTTACCCTCAGCAGCCAAGAAGGTCGCATTCCGTCGGTCAGTTATGTCGGCTAGTTGCTCCAAAGTGTTACTCTCAGCATCATACCGGCACATAACCAGTTTCCCGCTGGTGACCGGTGCACCGAGGAGACAGATGCTACTCAATGACTCCCTGCGGTTCCTATTGAATGGACACTCCTTATCCGCCCTCAGAGCTGGACATGCAATCCAGTTAATTATGTGACCTAGAAGTCGACTTAAACATTTCAAGCAGGTGAAGGTGGTTCAACAACTTACAAGCATGCCATATTTTCAGTCCAAAAGCTTTAACTCTCAAATAGTTGGTGAAGGAATTTGGGATTTAGCTGGCTCCATCGAACCTCCCTCATCATGGCTACCGCATGCTTCATTCGCGGTTCATCAGCCGCGCTCTGTGAACTGATCCAACGCCTTATTGCCTCAAGTACTGTCTCTTCATTGGCCACTTGAAGGTCGTCTGCTTGTAGCAGGGACAGGACAGCGTTAGACGGTAACTGGAGGAAAAGGTCACTTTCAGCCATGGCTTCAAAATTTGTTTTGACGTATTGTAAACAAGCTTTCTTTAACTGGTCACTTTGCAGTGTGCACGCAAACTTCCAGCTAGTGGCAACGTTTTCCTAATTTAACCTGGAAGTAAATGAGCCAGTGAAACCACCACGTACCTGGAAGCCATAAAAGCTGCGACCCATTCTTCAACTTTAGGCAGTACTAGTTGTTTGGATAGTACCATCAGTCCATAAGCACTGTCTTCAGAGATCTCTAGCTGGCCAGTATAAACGTAATCCGTAAGTGCTCTAGCAACGCTATATAAAAGAGTCAGCATAAACGGCGAATTATTACTCAGGGGACACATTTGGCCATTTGAGGACGGTATTCTTATCATTAGGCGTTCCACACACAGCATCACGCAGCGAGGGTATTTTGGAAACAAAAATGATTTTGTGCATCCGCAGCTCGGTGCTATCCTGAAGCTTAAAAAGAGCAAGAATAAGTAGTTTGCACGGCAAGATACACCTACCTCAATAGTCATATCGCTTAGCTCGCCTGCCATGCGAAGGTTGTTTAACGCAGGAAGGCATCTTATAAGCGCCGGTTCTTCTTCAAACAAGCGTGTCTCCTGAGAATCCATTTTGCGCGCCAAAACAGATGTCTAATATAAAGGGTGCATGAGTTAGAGAAGGGTGTAAGCATAAGCAAGTCCCACCAAACGGTGGCATCCATCATTAGCTTTGAAAAAGAAGCTAAATTATTAGGGGGGTGGAGGAGGTCCTTCCGGTGTCACTTGTTTTTGTTGTAAATGTCCGTTTTCCTATTCTGACTATTAATGCTCAACCTCATGAATAAGCAATTTTTAAAGCACGCGAGGGCAGACAACCCCGATGTTACCGTAAGTGCAACGCCAAGGCGTAGTTATCGCTGAAGATGAGATCAAGGACAAGTTGAAGGACAGAATGAAAGCGTGATCAAACAAGTGCATTAACTATGCGGTTGCAGCCTGCGAGTAAAGACAGCACGGCCGCACAGGAAGAGTGCCTAAACGAGCAGATTTCTGCTGCCAGGCGATATTTTCTATGGAATAAAACTAAGGCTTATTATCTTCGTATATTGTCTATTTCGCCGAATGACAGCCTATGTCCACTTTGTCACCATCCCAAAAACCTCGTCATACACAGTCATTGGGTGAATACCTCTGGTCACGTGGTCTGGAGAAATTACCTTATTCTAGGAATTTATCCCCATGTCCGGGCAATGTAACAATCTGGAAGATGCAAAATCGCAGTTC